AATGCCTGGAACGATGTTGCTATCATCAATGCCGTTTGCGCATTTGCGACGTAATTGCGATTCAACCACGCAATGTGAATACGCATAGAACGCACAAATTTAAATATTCACGATGCTAAAATGACGGAATTATCTATCGTGTGCGACGCTAATAAAAGTACCACGCAATTATGTATTCCACGAACGAATCGGAATTTATAATTCGCCAATCCGAATGTAAATACGGGAATATTTAATTGGCGCGATAGAACCACCGATAACCGCTGACGAAGAACGCATTATTCGATTATCTGGTCGACTTCGTAATTGGCGTCTCTGTGGGCATCGCGCGGACTATAAATTACAAATTACATATCAACCCCAACGTCGTAAATGTCGTGTTTTTTTACTTTGTAATATGTATGAGTCTGACAAAATCTTCTAATAAAATGTACCGACGACGATGCAACGGGTATGCCTCGTTAGATACACATTTCATTTGTATTACCGAACCATTTTCTTTAATATTGTTACATCGATAATGTAATATAACTGCTTCATTCATTTGAGGTATACAAACAAGCAGTGCTTGGCCACACGAGACGTTAATCTCATTTTAATAGCTCGTATTTTATCTTACGTATCTGATTGAATAGCAATTGGACTACGTCTCGTATCATTTATCAATGAAGAGAGGAGAAAAATATATAATATGATTTTTAAGATTCGACACAAATATCTATTCTATACCTATGATTAGACAAAATGTTAAAACAACTGTCCATGTTGAAGCTTAAATTATTCTATCGCGATAAAAAAATTATATACGTTAATTTTACAAATACAAATATTCTTAATGTGAGAAGTGAAATAAACTAAATCGGTGACGCGTAAACATTTCGAAATCTATCTCTTGAAATCTCTCCTTCTTTAATGCCAAATTCATACGTAGTAAGAACGAGCTCATCATCATTTTCACTGTCACAATTCTCGGATTCGCGAACTAATGATAGTTCATGAAGCATTTTTGTGTCGCTAAGTAACAATCATACTGTTTCGTTAAATTAGTTGTGCAATTCGGATTGTATCCATATACGCGAAAAAGCCAGATTGAAAATTACTACGTTTAAAGAATACACGTGTAGTATGCCAATTCTTTCTGTAATGCAACATTTATTTACTTATTAAGCTCATTCTATTTTTTAGATTGTTAAACGTTTCGAATATACCGTATATAAGTACGCACGATTGAAGGAAGCTCAGACGCGACTTTTCTACTGATGGAGATCAGATGACTGCGAATAGACTTCAGATTTCCTTCTAGCGAAGGAAATACGGGACAACGGGAAAGTTAATGCCGCCCGCGGTAATGGAGTACCTCTGTAAGTAAACTCTCTCTCTCTCTCTCTCTCTCTCTCTCTCTCTCTCTCTCTCTCTCTCTCTCTCTCTCTCCCTCTCCCCACTATTCCTAGCGCCTCGCTTTCTCCTTTCCTCCCGCATCCCTCTCATCTACCTCGTCTCTTCTCCATTACATCGGAGCAACCTGCAGACTCCATACGTTATCACCGTAGACAGCCTCAAATTGCTTCATTAGCCGCGAGATATTTTATATAAATTGGGGACTAAATTACCTGCGGCCGCGCGCTCGGCATCGGCGAAAAATTTGTAATTAGAGCAGGTAAAACTCGTCGACGTTGCACGGTCGAGCGGCGAAGGGAAAAGTAAGAGAAAGAAAGAAAAATAAGAGTAGAAGCGAAATAGTAGACAAAAAGAGAAAGAAGGAGAGACCAAGAGGTTTGGAGGGCCATTTCTTAATTATTTACGCGCCACTGTGCGGCAGTATTGTTCGTTCGCGGCGCATAAACCGTGGCAAATTGCCGCCGCCCTTTGCGGTTTCGCCGATAGCCGCTTTACGTCTTCAACTTCATGAATGGAGCAATTAGCATTCGGTGGCAGCTCAGAACGCGTTAAGGGGTACGTTTTGTTACGAGGACACCCTTGATTCACGAGTTCCCACCACTGCGATGCGTTAACGCAATGCATTTTCAGCCCATTGGACAACGCTACTTGCTCAAATCATCATTACTATTCATTTTCTAACTAAGGAGATTGTTAATAATCCATGAGTTAAAATCGTTATAATCTGCATTATATCAGTTGTCCTATATTAAATATAAATATCAAAGTATGATGCGAATTATACTGTTTTTTAAACGTTTTATCCAAACTACTAATTTATAGTAGAAAAAGATTTCAAATGTCGCGTACGAGCGTCTTAAAATAGCAGTCAAGCAGTGTGAAAGAATTATACATTTACACGAATAAAGAGAAGCAGAGGCGTTTAAAGGAGGGAACGTTGCGCCAGGGGTTGTCCCCAACTCTGTCCTACGGGGCCGTTTTACTTAATTTCCTTCTCGGACGAACTTCTTATTATTATCTCAGGCTCTCCCAACTTTTTTCTCACCCCCCTCCCCTCCCCCACCCCTAAGTTCGTGGCTTTCACAGAGTGACACGACAGTGAGACAAAAGGAAAAGCAGCCTCCTTTCCTTCCCCCACATCTAGCTTTGGTACTCGCTCGTATCCCCCGTTGTCTCTATAGCGGTCGAGTTCACGGGGTGGAAACGACGGGCGAAATGAATTGGCAACTTTTAATTAAGATGGTATCGTCCTCGCTCAGTCCCCTGCCTTTCGATTCTCTCTTTGGTTCGTGGAAAATCGACTAGGAGCCGGAAGAACTGGCTGCTACTCGGGTTCTGCTACTCGGAGGCTCCGCAGGCTTCAGGAGAACGAGGTTGCGGTGGAGGAGAGAGAGCTTTAGGTCGTCGAGCGGCGGGGACGCGGTTAGCATTCTTTTTGTTCATGCCAACTATTCATCATCGGTGACACTTCTCGAGATAGAGGGTACCGGTGCTCCTCTCTCTTCCATTCCCTCATCGTCTCATCCCGGCAACCTTTCTCGCTCTTTTCGTCCTCTCTGCTCACTTCCCCAGCCTTTTCTCTTTCCTTCCAGCTCGATCTTCTCCCTTGCCCTAGGGGTTTCCTAATGGACCCCCGACTACATAGTCCCCCTGGCCCCCTTACCACCTACTCGTCCTACCGTTATTCTTCTCTTTTTTTTCCGCGTGGCACGAGATCTCTCTATCACTTCAAGAAGACTTTACGAAGGATTTTAATTTCCCGGCAACTCCCACCACCGACCGTCGTTCGCGCGGTAATTCGTCGGCAGGCTTTCAAGACGTAAATTTCTACTTTTCATGTTGATATTACTCCGTAAAATCTTTATAAAATAAACTTTTAACGCATCAATATATATGTATATAGTGCAAAAAACAAAAAGCGCGAATGTTCAAAATATATCAGTCTATTAGAAGTATATGATAAGTATATTAAAGTAAAATATATATGCATAATAGAAATAATACTATAAGCTTATAATAAACATTTAATAAATGTTTAATCCTTTTGTGTGTATATGTAAAAAATGTTTTTAAAAAAAAAGTAAATAATAATATACGTACTTCAAAATTTGAATTAGCACGATTAATAAAATTAATCACAAGAAATAACTATGATTATTTCAATAATTATTAATGCAAGACAAAAATGATAGCAGAAGATTATTTGAATGATGTTACGCAAAAATAACGGTAGTTAAACGTGAGGCAGAGGCTGCCGCATGGAATCCTGTAATTATGACACGTCGTAAAAATTTTTGAACTGGTCCCTCTTAGTCTTCCCGAGACCTCTTTCTTAAAGCATAGAATAATCAAACCATGCGCCGCGAGAGAGAGAGAGAGAGAGAGAGAGAGAGAGAGAGAGAGAAACAGACAGACAACAGCTACAATTAAAATACAATTAAAATATTATTTGCAAATATGTTCTCCAGTAATATCACACATTTTCTTTCTGATTTATCATGCGTTCTAAGACAAATTTACGAAGACTGATTTACTGATTTACAATTAGGAAAAAAACATTTGGAACTTATGTAATAAAAATATATCTATAATTATAAGTAGATTGTGAAAACGGAGCACAGACATATAAATAATAAATGTAAATCGTGAAGCAAGAGAAACAAGGAAATATTATATAATATAATAGGCGCAATAGGCACGTGTGACACGCGTGCCGTCACACGCACCCTACTGCCACCATCCCGTGATGGAAAAAGACTTTCAGAACGCATCTCTCGCCATTCTGGCGTTAGTCCCCCGAGGACTGGGGTAAGCCGCATATAGTGTCTTCCAGATACTGGATGTAGAAGGAAGAAAAGCTGGAAAGAGCAGAAAACGCATAGGAAAGAAAAACGTGGCCGCAGCGTACTCGGCAGGTGGCTGTTAACGTCCCATGGGAACCACTGATAAAAACAAATGGCAGAACGAGAAAAAGAGGAACTCTTCGCGCGTCTTTGCGACGTCGAAAATAAAAAAATTACTTGATGCCGAAACTCATGTAAACAGAGTCGATGAATGAAAAGGAAGTTTATCAGGATGTTCACCCGTTTTTGCCGATGCGATTCTTTTAATTTTTAAATAATTATAGATAAAAAAATCCAATTACAACAAGAGCGTACACTTTGTTAACTTATATATCTTTGTCATATAATTATCTTTGAGAAAAAAAGGAGTACCGATTAAAATCTCGTACATCGGTTCTAATGAAACACATTTTCATTGTGATACAAGTAAGAACGACGATTCGCCATTTCCGGAGTTGATAAGTTGAAGATGGCGTCGAGTTATGGGGGAAAATTTCGCTGCAAGAAAGCAATATAAAGTCGCTGTTCATCCTCATAACGACGTTTCATATAACTGTATCAAAAAGCAGGTCGTATAGTCTCGCGACACTCCATAGAATATTTAAGCTTCAATTTCATACCATCGCGGTAGGTGTCTCTATGTCGGGAGCATATTAAAAAAAAAGGTAATAAAAGCGGGCCAGAAGATCAAAAAGAAGGAGAAGAAATTGCGAAGAGGGCACCGATGGATCCAACACACAATGGGGGCGTCGCGACGACCGTCTCGCAAAGGGGGCGGCAAAACTGACGCAGACTCTTCGCAGCGTTCAGGATGCGACACTATATGCGATTATTATTCATTATGTGGCATCTCTCTTGTGCTAACGCATAACTCCGTCAGAGAAACGTTTCTGCGTACGCATCGTATAGACAAGTTGCAAGACTCTTCCTGCGCTTTTCATACGCGCGCGAACTGTGTTGAATTGCAAATCGTACGTCGCTCCGCGACGCGAGACGAAGGGTGAACCGAGGGATGAGAGACATGTCCGTAGAAGCGAGGAAAGGAGAACAACCGAAAACTGACGAAAAACTTTACATAAGCGAGACCGAATGCCACCCTTCCGACATGGTTTCTCTCGAATCCACTCTATCATGAGTCCTGTCTCTTCTCATCCCTCCCGTTTCTCGCATCGTAGCTCTTGCCGTGGCGTATCGTTATGGTTATGGTATTAGGCACACGAGTCGGAGTACAAACGGTTATTTCGCTGAAACGACCTCGCGTCGCTTCTTACAGGAAATGCCTCCTCCACCGGGCCAGGGGCGATAACGAATGATGAGGGTGGGAAAAGCCGCTCGAATTTTCCGCTCAGAGAGTCCAAAGAGGCTTTCAGATCCGCTAACAGTAGTGGTAGTGTCGAATGGTGAACAATGTATGACACATAGAGATAACAGCCACAAGTAAGCTCTTAAAATTATCTCACATTAAAAATTAATTCCCTTCATTTATTTCAACCTATTTTGCTCATTCTTCTAATCGCTAGAAAACAATAATTTTTACTTTAAATGTGATCATTATATCTTTCTTTTAAAAGTGAATTTATTTTAAATTGAATCAATAGAGAGAGAGAGAGAGAGAGGATTTGTAACAGTCTCTTCAATATGCATAAGCTTCAAAAATTCTCCGAAATTTGATAGCGACATTGACGGCAAATTCACGCAGCATTTAAAAGTGCAATGTCAGCTGTATAGTCAAATTAAGAGGACGTTCCAGGAGCAACCATTCACGTGGGCTCGAGGGGGTAATTTCGATTATACCGGTACAGAGCGCCGCGGGACCGTCGTTACCGGTGCCGTACATCGTACATGGTTTGTTTTACTCTCGCTATTTTACTTTTTATTACTTTCGGTTAGCCAACTAGTTAAAACCGCGGCTGCCGTCGGCTGCACACCTAATGACTCGGCGAGTAGAGACAAAGGGTTCATTTGCGAAGCGGCAGGTGTACGCTGCGGACGAACTCAACGAAATTGCTCTTTCGTCCCATCCGATTTCCTCTATCTACACGTATATACTCCTTTCAAAGAGACGATCCACCTCCTCCTTCCGTTTCCTCTTCTTGTTTCTTCCAGGAATGACGCATCTGCTTTTGAGAAAATGCGACGCTATTCCATTAAACTGGCCAAACTTTCACGAAAAGAATAAAACGTAAAAGCGCACACGCCAAAAATATATTTGATAAAACATTATGATAAAATATTTTAATTATGCACTCGTAATAATTAAATAATTTAGTTTTCAAGTAAAAAAAAATTATTATCATATACACAATTCGTTTTTTCATAATTTATTCTAATTTGAATTAAACTTTCTCATTTCTATAAAATGCTTGGAAGATCAAAGATGTTCCTTCTCTATGCTGTGACAAATTTCACAATTTTCCTGATAGATAGATTATCAGTTTCAAATTGGTGGCTTTCGTTTTCGGTATAACGTAGTCTTGCGAATCAAGGTCACAAGGTACGTCGGCTATATCTCGGGGAAGTATCTAACACCTGCAATTTCACGTCTATTCCAAAGTCCTGCGGGCGAGTGGCTGTCACCCGGAGGCGTCCTCTTCATCAGATATCGTGACACGGGGATTCAACCCAGTAACCGAGGAGCCAAGCCGCTCAACCCTCTCTGACTCTCGAACTCGCGCCCACCCATCGTACACCATTCCACTTCCATCTTCGTATCCATGGAGTCTCTTTGCAGCAAGCGCCCGGCGTCGTCTTCGTACACCCGGCAACCCTAACATCGGTCTCGTCCGACCTTAAGATATTAAGTACTTCACCCGCGATTAGATCTCTCATTGTACGGCGCGGTGTCAGACAAGCGGTTCGTTAGGCTCCGAAGAGAGAGAGGAAGAGAGAAAGAATGGGAGAGACAGATAGAGAGAAGACGAGGGGCAAGAGATGACTTCAGGAGAAGACAATACCAGTCTAAGAGACAATTGCTCGCGGTTAGAGAAAGAGAGAGAGAGAAACTCTTATAAGTGCTGTATAATTTCCTGCAACGACACCTTCATTGTACGCCCAGCGTTTCATTCTTATCGTTAAAGCATGAAACTGGGAAGCAATGTCGAGAGGATTGCGCGTTCTCTTAAAGGTGTGAATATAATCGGCATTAGAATCATAGATTTGAAGAAAAAAAGTAGTATTTTACAATTTGAAATTTTCGATCAAAGAATCTTCAAAACTCATTTTTCATTTTGTCGAAAGTTTCTCTTATAGTCTATTTGTCGTTAAATTACGTTGATACCATGTTTCTAATATCATTGAAATCGATCTTAATACTCGATTCTCAATACGCTAAATCTTCTTAGTCGGTTGGAACATGGCAATAAAGCAGCACAATTAAAAGTGTTTCACATGAAAGCTATCTAATCCCGTATGAGAAAACGCTTAACAATAATATAAGCTACATTTGTTCGGAGCAGCGAGCGTACGTTTACATGATTCTTGAGAAGATAGCTGAAATTATAATGCGGTATCATGTCCAAGATAAATGTTTGCATCAGCAACAAATTGTGAACAGAGTTCAACTAAATTACCTTGATTTTTTAATTTAATATGGAATCTATGAGAAAATCAAATAATCTTTTTAAGTAGCTGAGTATATATATAGTACATATATACATATGTATATCTTTTCTCACATTTCAACGATAAAAGTACTCAATCCCATTAAAAAAGTAATATATTGTATTAAGTAAAAAATACAATAATATAACTGAAAGAAACTGAAACTCAGACAAAAGACATTTTTAGAGATTCTTTCAACAGTTACTTTTTTTTAAATATACTTAGTTTAAATTTTTTGATAGAGTTCGCTTGAACTTTTCCACTGATATTTACCATGATCTATTCAGTACGACAACGTTGAGAAGTACCTGAGTATCCAAAACTTTCCGGTACTCTCCCACGATCGAAAGAGAAGCAGGATCGTCAACGCACTTGAAAACCCTCAATAGACCCAATCACAGACTGCTATGACCCCGCGTTGTCCCCTTCAGGATCAAGGGGTCTCCTCTCCCGCACTTGATAGTGAACCCGAACCAGATTCACAGTTTGTTTTCTCAGAGCAGACTGGATCAGAAAAAATCACTCGTGCATCGTTCAATCACATGATAAAACAAACACTAGAAAATTTGCAAAAACTTCTCCCTAGATATAAAATTTCCCCCATTAAGCCAAATGATCAATGCATAAGTATATCAAAGATCTTTCATATAGTGAAAACTACATCGTTATATTATAATTATGTACGTAATTAGCATTATCGAAGAAAATCTCCGAGCAAATTTCTTAATTAAAAGCGAAATTACATTGATCATTTCATAATTCTTTAATGAAGTGTTTTGTCGATCGAATAGGAAATTGTTATCAAGTTTAACGTGACAGTGTCACAAGCACGCATGCGATATTGATGTGAAAGACAGAATGCGGGCAAAATTCAACGACAATCTTGCATGTCTCTCCCACAGTTACATCGCCGATGACGTTAACAGACGTGTCATTAAAGGGCGGCAAAGAACAACCTTGCATGACAGTGTGTCATGTAATCATCACGTGAGATTCTTGCAGATGGACAAACGTTCTCTTGAAAGGACGATAAGGCTGTGCAATAAAGAGAGCAAATACGAAAGAGGAAGAACGCGTGATCTAAGCAAGGGAAAAGAGGGAAAACGCGCGGTCTAGGCGGAGAAGAGGGGGGTCACGGTTTTCGTAAATTCGCTACGCAAGTCGGCCGCAAAATCAGGAATGAATGAAAAAGTGACACAATGCAACGTGTTGCAGACGGCCGGCAGAATCGCCGCCATCCCCTTTCGAGTTCTGTCGCAACGACGCGTCTCTCCCGAAATCCACCCAACTGGAACCATTCACCACCGTTTGTGAAGAAAAAAAAGGATACGGAGGAGGGAATATAAAAAAGAAGGGGACAGTGAAGGGGGAAAGGAAAGCAGAAAGGAAGGAGCAGGTTCTCGTTCTAAAGCGAGCGGCGATGCGTGGCAACGGCAGAGTCAGAACCGACTGGGTGGTTCTTTCCCCCCTCATTGTATCGAGATCCACATGTACTGTGCATAAGGGACAACGTAGGGCTAAGCATATAGAATAGTATCTGCATGTGACGGATCGCCGTTGCAGGGATCCGTCAAGAGTCATCCGAATGCGAGACTCCCAACTTTTATTTCGGCCTCGGCTGATGCTAAAGCCTCTATCAAAAAGTAGCAAATTTATTGTACACGTTACAGGTGCCATGGATTTTTTTCCCGCACTCGATATTTTCTATTCTTCTTTCCAAATACATAATGGATACCCGACGTTCACATCAATTGCGAAAAAAATTTAATTTATTCGAAATATAATCGTTCGGAGATAGAATTAAATAAGAAGAACAGGATGCAAAGATTCTTAGTTTTAACTTTTAATTAATTACTATCTCTCAAATCATATTTAACAAAGCATACTTTTGTTATTCTTTCATACACCCATTTTTGAATTCAGGTAGTTGTAACACACACAAATAACAAATAAAATATTTCAAATAATTTTAGATATTCTAACTGTAAAAGACTACACGTTATATAATATCTAAAAACAGAAACAAATTATTTTGCAAAATGCGTTTTCTATTCAAATTACACAAATACTTGTCTCATACATCATTCTTTATTTACTTCTAAATTTTAGAATAGATTAAATCATCTTATATAACACGATAATTCAAATTCAGTATGTTGTTC